ATGGCAATTTGTCATTAAAGGACTTTTTGCTGTAAATATTGTGGTGTGCTGGTGACAATTTTTACTACTTCTATATTGCTCACGGTGCCATCCGTGGTCGCTACAAGCACCCACCTGCCTAGCAGGTTTACTACTTTTCCGGTAAGGCTGGTTTCCTTTTTTATAACATTGCTGACCTCTGTACTGCGCATCACATTGCTGACCTCTGCACTGCGCGTCACATTGCTGGCCTCTGCACTGCGCGTCACACAGCTGGTCTCTGTATTCTGCATTGCACCACTGACTTCTGTACTGTGCATTGTTACTGATCTTTATACTCTGACCTGGCGGTGTTAAGGCCGGGGCAGGGTAGGGGTTAGGTGGGGCAACTGGTGGCGAGTAACTTTTCAGGCCTGGCTAGTAGCTTAGGACTTGAAATTTTGAGCCCTGGCCTAACATTTCAAAGGAACAGTTGCGCTATATTTTCCCTCAGAAGTCAAGATGCCTCGAAACTGTGTAAACAACGCAGATTACTTCTGTTACATTTGTGGCGAGGTTACATTTGCATCTCAAAAGTGCAGTATGACGGCAGTGGTAAAAAAGAAATACCACCTATATTTTGGATGCAAAATAGGGCAACAGGACAAAAGTTGGGCCCTTCATTATTGTTGCAATACATGTGCAACATATATGCGTCATTGGCTAAACTAGAAGGAAAACCCCATGCCTTTCGCAGTCTCAATGGTGTGGAAGGAACCCACGAATCATAGAAGCGACTGCTATTTTTGCATGGTTCCCCCCAATTGCAAAAGGGATCTCAAGAAAGAAGTGGCCAGTGGAATATCCAAACATTCCTTCCGCACTGCATCCTGTACCCCATGGTGAGGACTTGCCTATTCCAGATCCACCAGAATCCAACTCTCTAGACCACGGATGTCCAAACTCCGGCCCTCCAGCTGTGGTGAAACTACAAATCCCATGAAGCATCTCTCTCCGGGAGTCATGTCTGTGAGACTCTTGCAAAGCCTCATGGGATTTGTAGTTCCACCGCAGCCGGAGGGCCGCAGTTTGGACATCCCTGCTCTAGACTCAGATGATGATAAAGATGATAAGCAAGATGCAGCTGATCCGGGGCCATCGATGTCAGGGGACCCAAACTTTATCCCACCGTATGCTCCTCCTGAACCACATCAAATTTCACAGCGTGAACTAAATGACCTGGTCAAGGATTTGGAATTGCCTAAGAGTAAGTCAGAGCTATTGGCCTTCAGACTACAACAGTGGAACCTCTTGCAGAGCGATGTCAGGATCTCCATTTTCCATGATAATAAATGAATGGAAAGTGATGTTATTAGTACCAATAAAAATATAAATGTATAATGCTTGTTGTGGCAAGCATTATAAATGCTATATCACATTTTGCAGAAAGGTTATGGAGCATAATCGCACATCCCCCTCGTAATTGTGATGCATTTTTTACCTGAAGCTGTATCTTGGAAACTGGAGCCATTGAATAATCAATTCTGACCCAATTCTGGTAAAATTTAGCTACCTTCATTTCCGAGGCTTTCTCCTTGTAGACCAGTGCAATCTCGGAATTGGTGCTGACACTGTCCTTCCTTCTGGAGTGTGGCCACCGCTCCAAGCTTGCTGCACTTTAAAAACACACAGCAGATGAAACACCGGCTCCCAGTGCGGAGGAGAGAACCAGGGGATCCAGATCAACTAATCGATAATGAGAATAGTTGACAACAATTCTCAATATCAATTAATCGATTTGTTGGTTGCAGCCCTACATGTTACACCCATATTTAGGGTTCCTCTCCCTGCAAGCTTGTTTACTTTTTAGAATTTGGCAGTGCTGTGTGTGGCTCCACCCACACAGCTGCGTCATCCATTGATAGATCCTTTAACGGGACTTGTGAATGGAGAAACTGCAAGTTCCATCAGCCACCACAGCAAAGGGACTTGTAGTTCTCCATGCAATACAAGTATTTTGTTGTCAATGCACTTGTATGTCAGTATTTACATGGACGGGAGGAAGTGTCTGCTGGAGCCAGAGCATTGCACCCGCAATTTATTGATCGCGGTTGCAATGCTTTACAGGCTCCTATACCAAAAATAATAAATGCACATTTTTTTTATTTTATGAAGAAATTAGCATGTTTTATTTTTTTGCATAAGGTGGAATTTCCTTTTTACTGTTACTGTTACATTTAAAACTTTAAAATGGCTAAAAGGTTCAGCTTGATTTTCAGGACAAGCAAACAAGCCAAGCAGGAAAAGCATTATTCATCGGGTGCAGAAATCATAGCAGAGTTCATTATGTCTCAGAGGAATTCTTATCTGCATCAACCCAAATGGAATAAACCAGCTGAACAGAATGATTATTTTCACGACAAGTGACGGATTCTGATTGACTTTTGTTATTAAAAGCCTTCAGAGGAATGAAGGCAAGTTATCAATTGTGTGGAGGAATCTATACTAAAAGATTAAATTGAATGGTTGGTTAGATGAAAAATCAATGCAAACATGGCCAGCATAAGGCTGGGGAGCTAACTTGATTCATAAGCTGACTGTGTATATTGGTTCAGATCTTTTTCCTTTAAGATATACAGTGCACACACTATGCAAACATGGCCAGCATAAGGCTGGGGAGCTAACTTGATTCATAAGCTGACTGTGTATATTGGTTCAGATCTTTTTCCTTTAAGATATATACACACACTATATTACCAAAAGTATTGGGACTCCTGCCTTTACACGCACATGAACTCTAATGGCATCCCAGTCTTAGTCTGTAGGGTTCAATATTGAGTTGGCCCACCTTTGTCACTGTAACAGCTTCAACTCTTCTGGGAAGGCGTCCACAAGGTTTAGGAGTGTGTCTATGGGAATGTTTGACCATTCTTCCAGTTCTTCCAGAAGCGCATTTGTGAGGTCAGGTACTGATGTAGGATGAGAAGGCCTGGTTCGCAATCTCCGCTCTAAATCATCCCAAAGGTGTTCTATCGGGTTGATGTCAGGACTCTGTGCAGGCCAGTCAAGTTCCTCCACTCCAAACTCACTCATCCATGTCTTTATGGACCTTGCTTTGTGCACTGGTGCGCAGTCATGTTGGAACAGGAAGGGGCCATCCCCAAACTGTTCCCACAAAGTTGGGAGCATGAAATTGTCCAAAATGTCTTGGTATGCTGATGCCTTAAGAGTTCCCTTCACTGGATCTAAGGGGCCAAGCCCAACCCCTGAAAAACAACCCCACACCATAATTCCCCCTCCACCAAACTTTACACTTGGCACAATGCAGTCAGGCAAGTACCGTTCTCCTGGCAACCGCCAAACCCAGACACGTCCATCGGATTGCCAGACAGAAACGCGTGATTCGCCACTCCAGAGAACACGTCTCCACTTCTCTAGAGTCCAGTGGCGGTGTACTTTACACCACTGCATCCGACGCTTTGCATTGCACTTGGTGATGTAAGGCTTGGATCCAGCTGCTCGGCCATGGAAACCCTTTCCATGAAACTCTCTACGCACTGTTGTTGTGCCAATCGGAAATCCACACGAGTTTTGGAGGTCTGTAGCTATTGACTCTGCAAACAGTTGGCGACTTCTGCGCACTTTTCTCCTCTCAGTCCCCGAATGCAGGAAGTGATGTATATTGCATCACTTCCTGCATTCAGTGTCACTCTCCAGCTAGAGAAGCTGGTGAAGCCGATCTCTGCTTCATCAGCTTCTCTGGAGGTCCCTAGGTGACATTAGGGGTCTTGGAGACCCCTGATGTCTCCATAAAGAGGACTTGTCATGTAAATTGGCTATCCCATAGGGGGCTTCTTAGCCCCCGATGTAATAGCAATAAAGTTGTATGTAAAAAAAAAAAAGTAATACAAAAATGAATTGGTTGCTAGACACAAGCACTGTCATATGGAGAAGGTCACATTCTCCCCTATTCCTGGAAGTACCAAGTACTGTCATCAGAATCAACAAAAGCAGAAGCAGTGAGGGAACACTAGCAAGGTAAGTGAAACTTGTGTGGGGGTAAACCTTTACTTAAATTCCCTATTCTACTCTACCTCATTCCATATGCCATGCTGTACGTTCCCTATTCCTCATTGTCTCTTTCTGTATACCATGGTTGTGCATTCCCTATTCCACACTTCCTCATTCCATATGCAATGCCGTATGTTCCCTATTCCACATCATCCCTTCCCATATACCATCCTTATTCCAAAGTGCCTCATTCCATATACCAATCTGTATGTCCCCAATTCAACACCGCTTCATTCCATATGCCATTCGTTCCTTATTCCACATTGCCTCTTTTAGTACACCAGGCAGTAAGTTCCCTATTCCACACCCGCCTCATTCCATATGCCATGCTGTACATTCCCTATTCCACATCGACTCATTCCATATGCCATGATGTACATTCCTTATTCTACACCACCTCATTCCATATGCCATGCTGTGTGTTCCCTATTTTCACATCATATAATTCCATATGCCATGATGTACGTTCCCTATTCCACATCATATAATTCCATATGCCATGATTTACATTACCAATTCCAGAATGCTTCATTTGCTATGTCACGCTGTACATTCATTCCCTAATCCATGCTGCCTCATTCTTTACACCTTGCTGTACATGTTATATTCTACACTGTCATATTCTGTGTTGTATATTCCTTATTCTGCCCTAACCTTACAGGCCCAGCAGCTGTACAGTGTAAGTGTGTGTCTGGGTGTGCCAGAACTGGGGTTCCAGATATTTTGGACAAATTCAGTGCTTGCCATAGGTGCTATTTACCATAGATGTGCCCTTGTGTTTTGGCATGTCTCTATGCTGAGCGGCAATCAACAACATGCAGAGGGCACTTTAAAACAAAACATCTTTAGAAAGAAACACGTTCTGACATTAGAAAGATTTTTTCATAAGACCACAATAATCCCTAATTTAGTGACAGGGTTATGCTTAGGCAGAGCGGTAACAGTTTCTGGAAAAATAACTAGAAACTTACCATCAAAGATGGACATATTTTTTGCAGGTGCTTTCGATGCTCGGCCACTAGAGGGTGGATCACTGCTCCCTGTAAATGCAAAATATATATTAGAAACATTAGGGTGACTACATAACACTTTAAAGACACTCAAAGGTGGCCTTGTATATATTTTGTTATATATGCAGGGCTAAAATATACTTTTTAAAATAATTTTTACGCCAGACAATTGTTGCTATTATTATTAATATTATTATATAGTATTTATATGGTGCCAGCAGTTTGCACAGCACTTAAAGAGAGATAGTACAGTTACAGGTCATAAAAAGGAAAAACATGTTGGTGGGTTTAAAAAAAGAAACTAAATCACTTCTCTCATCTATGCATCCCACACGGTGGCAGACTGTAAAGAATTAGCAATAACAGTAAGGAGACTTAAGCATTCATTTTGTATTTAGACATTAGGGTTCTATGTGTTTGCAGCAGGGCTGGACAAATCCCAGGAGCCAGGTAGCCAATGCTTGTTAAAAATTACAACTAGTGCCTACATTTTAAGGTTTTCTCTAGTTGCTTTCAATGGAGCTGACTCCTAAAAACAATCCTGCAGGCTCCTGGATTGAACAGACTGGCTTATAATTACTAATTACTCTTTTTTATTAAAGATACAGAGTATTCTCTGTATCTTTTTGGCTTGGTGCTTCTCAAATTCTTTGATACTCATCCTATACAAGTCTATGAGAATGCAAAAGCAGCTAGAAGCCGGTCAACGGCAGGTCAAATGCACCTGCAATGAATTCTGAGGGCCCAGTCACACCATAAAGAGTGTGTTCCAGTGCGTTCGGCCTCTGGAATGCACTGGAACGCAACCTGGCCGGCTCATTTTGTTTTGGGGCGGGAGGGGGCGTGGCGGTGCTTTAATGTCAATCGCCGGCACTCTAACGCGTGGCACATTAGTACCTCCGTTCTGGTCTGGTGCGATCTGCAAAAAATGCTGCATGCACTATTTTTTCCAGATCGCACTGGACCTGAATGCAGGCACTAATGTGCCACGCGTTCGGTTGCTGGTGATCCCATTGACTTCAATGCAGCGACACGACCCCTCCCGTCCTAAAACAAAGTGAGGCGGCCGGGTTGCGTTCCAGAAGCCGAACGCACTCTTGGTGTGACTGGGCCCTGGAGCCACCTGTATCGGCTGCTTCCATCCTCCTGACATGCACAGGCAGTATCTCACGCCAGCCACTAACATGTGCTGTACAATGACTGCTAGGACATGTAGTCCAAGGAGAGACTCCTAATAATGCTGTGAGAGCATGTTCCCTGGCCAGAACTTCGGGGAAGTGGCACGATGCAAATCATCAAAAAGTAAGCTATTCTGGACTTTGCTGAAAACAATCCTTTTCTGCAATGTGCTCTTTCAACCTATACAGATGTGTTTCTGATTAAATGCACTAGGCTATAATACTACTTTAAAAACTCTTAGCAGGTTATTGTTTGTTATATGTGTGAAGATTTCCCTTCTTTCTTGTCTTGGAGACACAACAGGAAGTGAGAGGAGATCTCCCCAAAGAGGGTAAGATTCCCATCTTAGGCAGATGTCATATATTTGTCCCCATTTGACAAACATCATGACAAACCCTAAAATTTTTAATTTCCCCTTACTTTCTGTTTACATGACAAGGGTTCACAGGACAAATAGAGATGTGAATCTCCACTATGGGGACACAAACTACAAAAATAACTTGAAAGAGGGTCTAACACTTCAAAAAATAAAAATAAATGTTTATCTTCACACTTTAAGAACAGAATTGTAGACATATTTAAATTGATTATCTAACTTTCATGGCCGCACCTGATTATCATTAAAATTTGTTTTCCCCTTCTACATTTTTATGTCAGCATTGAGCAGTATAGCTTCAACTTCACAAGGGTGATAAATTATTGTACCCGTACAGAGGATCAATAATGCTGAATTAGCATTAAGTCTTAGGATTTAGTCACTGGTTGTTGCATCTACCAGCATAATGATGTTCCAGAAAGCTAGAAAATGGCAATAACCTCGAATGAGGAAGCGCAGGGAACGCAGGTGGTGTCGAGGACAACCCGCTAAAAAATAATTTTGCTTTGTAAATATTAGATATTCGATATTTGCTCAGCTGAGCAGCTTATTAAAATGTTCACTTGTGTAGGTCATAAAAAGGAAAAACATGTTGGTGGGTTTAAAAAAAGAAACTAAATCACTTCTCTCATCTATGCATCCCACACGGTGGCAGACTGTAAAGAATAAGCAATAACAGTAAGGAGACTTAAGCATTCATTTTGTATTTAGACATTAGGGTTCTATGTGTTTACAGCAGGGCTGGACAAATCCCAGGAGCCAGGTAGCCAATGCTTGTTAAAAATTACAACTAGTGCCTACATTTTAAGGTTTTCTCTAGTTGCTGTCAATGGAGCTGACTCCTAAAAACAATCCTGCAGGCTCCTGGATTGAACAGACTGGCTACTGAACTCCAAATTAATTTGTCCATCCCTGGTTTACAGATGGACCACCTTCAAAAAACGTCCTGTCCTGAAGGGCTTATTATAAAGTATTATATTCTGTTTCTGTGCACTAAATTTAATTTTATATATATATATATATATATATATGTTTGTGGGTCTGAAGCTGTTTTCTAGCCACAAATTCAGATTTTATCATGTGTGCAAATATTAACAAATTGCTCCGGACAGCAAGTGGTTAAAAAAGAACCGCCATGCTTCATTTATCAAAATACCTTTTTTTTAATGCAAAGCCATATAACAGGAATTGCCATTGAAACCTCCAACTGTCATTGTTTGGTTCCGGTTTGAATGTGATAGTTTCCTGTGAAGCAATGCACATAGTTCTCCGTTAATGGACGGCTGAGACCCCTGTGTTTTTCCATAGCAATCTGCTACTTCCTTTTATTCTTCTACACTCCATTAGGGTTGGGAAAATGAATTCTGGTTACTATGGGCAAAAATACCAGTTACTTCATTAGCCACTTTTAGAAATAAAAACCACTGTGGCTGACATATACAAATGTTAGAAGTGGAGCATGTCTGTGCATCCTATAACAACTAGGTTGGAGATGTGATTTCTTTATTGCTGGTTAGAAGATGATAGAAAAGATGCAATAGGCTGGCACAAAGACTTTTAGTGCCAGTGACCTGTTGTATCCCATAACAACAAAAAAAGATAAAGTGGATCTCTTGACTTCTACATAGTGATCACATTTCTTGATCAGAATAGGCAGCATATGCTGTAGATACAATGTAAAGAAAAGTGGTGCTTCCAAGAAATTACAAACCTCGTCCACGTCTTGATGTTCCTCTTGTGGAGGCACCTTGACCCCGTCCTCCCCTAGCCCGGCCTCTCCCTTTTCCTCTAGTTGGTGTTGGAATGTTGTCATCTGAGTCATCATTGAGTGGATTTGAGGTCTTCCTTCCCATTCCATCATCATCGTTGTCGCTCATGTTGATGTCCTCGGCCTGGGATCTATGTGCTCTGGCTCGGTTGATCGCCTGATTATCAATGAGGGGTGTTAATACAATGCAATGTCTCCTAACAAATGCTAAGCTATACTACTGGTTCCACAGTTTTGGAACACGACTATTCTTCCAGTTTGAATTAAAAGTTACGCAGTTTTATGTTTCAATGTGCTCTGATATCAAAGCATAAAGCAAACTAACAAAAAGATGGAAATTAAATCATAGAATTATTTTAACAAAATGTAATTTACATTTTTGACTCATCAATGTAGCGACCTTCTGTAGAAATAACAGCCGAACACACTCGACTTTACTTCTGATTGTGTTGTGGCTTTGGATCTTGCAGCCCTAATCCTTTCAGTGTTTCTTCCAGTTTTCAAATACCTGTTCATGGCTTAGACAACTTTACTCACTTATACCTTGGCTTTCTTTGCGCCTTCTCTGAAGGAAAGACCTACACTTTTAATGGTTATACTGATTTGTTTTTTTTGCTTCATTACCTGCTTTTTCCCCTCACCATTATGAGAGCAATTTGCTAATTGCTGCATTGCAATGTTGTCCAAATAATGCTTCGGTGTCTAGTAACACTGCATTTATTCAGACAGGGTTTGCAAGTGATCGACTAAAGTTGGGACTCCTGTAGGAATTATTTGCATCAACTTTCAAGGCTTAATTCCTATCCATAAATCTCTATTTATTTTACAAAAACTGTTAAGTTGTTAAAGTCTAACTCCAGGCAGTAAGGCAATAATAAAAAAGGTAATGATCTAGCAGCGGTCATTTTTCTAAAGATGGAATAACACACACTAATACTTTCCATAAGCCACAGTTCCATGACAGCCAACAGTCCAGTAATTTTCCACACTAGAATGTGGATGACCTCTACTATGACTGGACGCCTCCCAGCCAGATGACGGGGTTGTTGTTCCTTCATCAGTTATAGTGCAGGTGTGATTATGATGGACTTGAGGGGCAGCAAGAAAAACAACTTCGGCATACCCATCATCACAATTGGAAGCAGTGGGGAGGAGAACTGTGGGACCATAGATTAAGATATTGTGCTGTATTACCAATCCCCTAGACAAAACAAGCATTAAATGCTCCTTCTCGGGTAGGTGGGGGGAATGGGGGCATGCCCAAACACTTACAGTCATCATGTTTCTGAACAGCTGGCTCCAAAACTAACAACTCTGCATCTCTGAACTTCGTGTATAAGATCACAAGGGACAGAGCAGTCTCCAGCAGCTGCCAATCTACTAGCTTGGAGAAGGTAGGAGCAGGGAAGTGATTTGCCTTGCCTTATTGTGGCTGTGTGTTTGTGGAGATGCACAACGCTTACTAACACAAGGGTGGCTCCATAGGACCATGCAAGTGACAGGAGCCCCCCTAATACAGGATATCAGGACCAGTGCTCAGGGCACCAGCTGATTCTGCAGGAAGCTAAAACTTTTGAACATCATGGAGCAGCATCCATTGTAAGTGATTCAATCAGATTTGAAAAAGCCCAAAAACCTTTTGACTTTAAAGGAGAACTATGAGGTGAGTGCTTTTCACTCACCTCATAGTTCTAGCCGACCTGTGACAATGAGACTGTCACAGGTCGGCTCAGTAGATCGGGAGGTGAGCGAACACATACCGGCGTTCGCTCACCCCTCGATCCTGTCACGGCAGAGCTGGATTCCCCCCTCCCCACTCCGAACGGACGGGGGAGGGGGCGGGTACAGCTGGCTCTGCCTCTAGATAGGCAGAGCCAGCTGTCAGTCACGTAGCTGGGCGGATCCCGGCACAATTGTCGGGATCCGCTTCAGCTGCGGCGTCTCAGTATACCACGAGCAGCAGCTCGCGGTATACTGCGGCGTCTCAGTATACCGCGAGCTACAGCTCGCGGTATACTGAGCCTAGGGTGACGGGAGGACTCTAGTTTGTGTCCTCCCGTTACCCTAAGGAGAACTATGGGGAAAAGCCTTAACCCCATAGTTCTCCTTTAATAATACTTTAAGCCTTTAGTTGTGCCCTGAAAAAGGCAGTTTTTATATGACTGAAATTCACATTAGTTTTCAGCTTTCAGTAACTAAAATTTCTTGTTAACCTTCATTTTACTGCTTCTCATAGTACCATTTTACGAGACTTGAACTGCTTAAATGTAAATAATATATGGAAAAATAGTGGTGTTCTAAAACTTTTGATCAGTAGTGTATACATTTAAACCATGTAAAGAAAATGAGAACTTTCATCAGTACCTTGGAAAATGAAATTTTGACCAACATCCACATTTATTGCTCAGTGCAACCCTGAGGCTAGGTTCCCACCTAGTCGATTTGTAACGCAAAATCGCGCAAAACACAGATTCACATTGAAGTCAATGGAGTTTGTTCACACCTTTGCGGTTTGTCTCGTTACAAGATCGCCTGTGGCGTGAAAAGCTGCAGGAGCGATTTTCAGGCGGTTGTCGCACGGTTTGGGTTCCATAGACATCTCTATGCATTGAAAACCGCGCGATCTAGAGCCATGACACACTTCATATGGCAATCAAAGCGGCCTAGAATATCTATTAAGAAGTTATGGCTCCCGAAGAGTGAGGGCGGTGATAACCTGCCTCATATACAATTATACAATTACGCCTGCCTACTGAGACATGCTTTGGACTGGCTAAATGACGGGTCTGCATACTCTAATACGCCCCTGGAAAAGGCGTTTATAGCCCCGTGGGATATTAAAGCCATCCTCCACTGCAGGGTCTCAAATCTCACTATGGGTGTTCGACACAATGTTTTATACAGGGACACGGTGGTGGCTTGGAGGGAGCTGCGGAAGGGTCTTAAGCTCTCCCCATTTCTCTCAAAACACAGTCCTATTATGCATAATCCAATGTTCCCCCAAGGCATGGAGTATACGGCGTTCAGCCTGTGGAAATCCAAAGGCCTACACTCCTGGAAGCAACTATTCCGACCTGACACGTGGACACTGTACATCTTCAAAGAACTGGTAACACATTACCATCTGCCCTCGCATCACTTCCTATACTTCTTACAAGCCACTAAACACTGGCAAGCGATAACTAGAGATCTAAAGAAACTTTTTGCTGCATCATTCCTGGAAGTATTATTATCCTCTAGATCGTACTCAATATCTACTTTATATCCTAGACTTCAAACAATCTTCACGCCACTGCTGGCTAACTCTAATGTCAAAATTTGGGCCAGAGAGTTTGACGATCCAGACCTGGTGGATAAGGCTCTGCAGGGATACAACAAAGTCAGGAGGGTGATCACTAGCGAAAAATGGAGGGAGACCCAGTTTAAACTGCTGCACAGGGCTTATGTCCCATATTTTGTGCCGGATGGAACCTCTTCACAACAGCCAAAATCATCCAGCTGTCCGAAATGTGGCTGCGCCCATCCCACTTTGAAACACTGCCTATGGATTTGTCCTCGGATTCATCATTTCTGGGCGCTCCTGCTGGCCGATACCGCACAAATTAATTCCTGGGAACCCCAATTGGACCCTGCTCTGTGTCTGTTCAGTCATTGCTCCTCACAGGCAGGAGACAGACAGGGAAGGTATCCCAAGGGACTGGACTGGTTACACATCTGCCTCCTTGCAGCACGCAGAGTGATTATGCGCAAATGGAGCGAAGGCAAGCCTCCTACAGTGGAGGAGGTGATCAAGGAGCTCAAACTTCTCTTTTGCAGAGAGAGAATAGACGCAGAATCCCATGCTGATGCCTCTGCAAAATCTTTCTTCCGCAGATGGAAATTGTTCCTGCTCAAATCTTACACGACAGCGGAAATCAGTCAAATTGTTAAGCCATTTCGTTACACAAAATGGTATTTAACTGGTCACATGTCGAACACCCTGGGGCAACTGGCTTTAGAGCCGGAATAGTCGGGGCATTTTAATTTTTAATAATTTTTATTTTCAATTTACATTTGTTTCATCCTCATTTAGAGTAATGATCCGCACTATCTTCTATATGGCATTGGGTCGATTGAATACCAATCGGTGTCGAGACACATGTCATAGATGCAGCTTGTTGTTGTTAATCTGCTTAGAACGTATGTTGTTCTGTTTTTATTTTTCTTTGTTTTTGTTTTCTTTACTATGGCCTGAGATTGAGGCTTATCCATGTCAGCTATTGATATCGCCTAAGATAAAGTTTGCGCTATCGGCTTTCAGATGCGCAGGAAATGTTATTGTATCACAAAATTCTAATAAAATTTGTTGTTAAAAAAAAACATGCGATAACCGTGTGGTTTTCAATGAACAGTTGCGCGATCGAAAACGCACGACAATCACGCGAAAACAGCTTGGCATCTGAATCGCCTAGGTGGAAACCTGGCCTAATAAAAGCTCCATCTAAACGTTGCTCGGTTGTAAAGTGTAAAATATGTGTAAAAGCAATGCATATGTTCTGGAGTAAAAACCCAGGTCCTGCACCCTTTATTTAATATACCGTATTCTGCTAAGGCTAGGTTCACACCTAGGCGACCTGGATGCCGAGCTAATGTCACACGTTTTCGATTGCGCAACTGTTCATTGTATACTGTGCGATTGGTGCACGTTTTTCAATGCATAGACATGTCTATGGGACCCAAACCGCACGACAACCGCCTGAAAATAGCTCCTGCACGTTTTCGCGAGACAGGCGATTTGCGGTTTTCAATGAACAGTTGCGCGATTGAAAACGCACGACCATCATCTGAATCGCCTAGGTGGAAACCTGGCCTAATAAAAGCTCCATCTAAACGTTGCTCGGTTGTAAAGTGTAAAATATGTGTAAAAGCAATGCATATGTTCTGGAGTAAAAACCCAGGTCCTGCACCCTTTATTTAATATATTCTGCTAAGGCTAGGTTCACACCTAGGCGACTTGGATGCCGAGCTAATGTCGCACGTTTTCGATTTGCGCAACTGTTCATTGTATACTGTGTGATTGGTGTTTGAAATGAAGACCTTTAACGTAATTAAAAGTAAAGTAAGGAAAAAAGATGCAACAAGGTAACGTGAATAAAATATATCAATACTTACAGCCAACCTTAAAAGAGAACAATGGGGTAAGTGTTTTTCCCCCATAGTTCTCTTAAGGGTCACGGGAGGACATATACCAGCCTCCTCCCGTGACCCAAATTTTCACTCACCTCATAGTTCTCCTATAAAGCTGAACTTAAGTTAAAAAAAAAAAAATCACGAGACCCTACAAATATTAAACGAGGGAAAGAGCAAGGACCTATGACGCCATTGGAACGGTTAGAAGACTTGGGAAAAAGGTATGTATGTACTGTACGTGTTTTTTAAGTGCAAAAGAAGCATGGACATGGACCCAATATTATTCTGGGTATCTGATTAAGAAGATCAGCTAGTGTGGCGCCACAGCCAGTGTCATCTTTTATTATTAGCATTGTCCTTTCACCCCTGCTGTTTTTTGTACATTGGTAGTCTTCTGCTAGACCTTCCAGCCTCTCTTCTGTACTTCCTTTCGGCATCATCTTACCTCACTGAGGTAAAAGGGTCTCTGTTTAACCTGTTAATGGCAAAGATGGGAATGTCTTTTCACTCTAACAATGACAAGGAATCACATCCTCTGTATTTAGAAGGCTAAATAAACTACATTGGATTCTATTTTGAGTACTCTTAGCAAGTTGAACACTATCTGTGAATATAACCAAGTCAGTAGGTTGTCATACCATCCGTACAGATGAGTCTCAGGAAGGTATGTGAAAATACATAAAGCTGTGGTTGTAACAGAAGAGCTAGTTTCCATATAAATTCCAGACAGAGCTCCACATTTTTAGCTAATATTTTATAACTCTACACATTTTTAGGAGCTCTTAACTCTTTTTAGGTCCTGTAAACTGTCTTCAGATCAGGTCATATTCCATTTCAACAATTTTTTCATGAAGCTCAGTTATTTAAAATTGTGATAGTAATTGGAACACCCAATTTATATCAATCTTTTTTCAGCAGTGATCTTGATTGTTTCATCAATTTGGTTCATAGAGATATAGCAGTGTATAAGTGTTTTTTTAAAATTATGATTTAGATGAAAGGTCACATTTTAGGAACTACTCTTGCAGGAATCTAGAACATTTTGATTCACTAATGGAACCCACTAGGAATCAGACTGAAAAAAAAATAGGATTTTTAACTTATCTGTAAAATACTTTTCTTAGAGTACAGGACGAGACAGAGGCTCTTTAGGTCTTATAACATGGGTTATATGCTACCTTTAGATGACTAGACAGTGGAACAAGGGAAAAGCTGCGGGGACAGCCCCCATAAAATCCCTCCTCCTGGCAATCATCAGTTTTATAGCAAGCAATAGGTAGATCATAAGAACAGAGAGGAGGGGCCTGTGTCCTGTACTGCACACCAATAACTGGACTTGACAGGTAAATAAAACATCCTATTTTTTTATTGTACAGTACAGGACACAGGCTCATTAAATCTTAGACCATGGCACTTCCCCAAGTAGACCAACTGAGGGGTGGGAAACAAAGCAAACAATGCCAACAGGCCCACAAAAAGCAACGGCAAGAAAGGAAAACAAAGAGTTCAGAGTACAGCTTGAAGCACTTTATATGCAAAGCTGGCATTAGCCGAGGGTCTGAACATCCTAGTGCCTATGAAGCACTAAAAGATCTAGCAGAATAGGAACCTTATCCTTCAAACTATATGACCGAATGATGACTTGTCTAATCCACCAGAGGGAATTCGACGACCAAAAAAGGTAGCAGAGAAGTAATCTTAATTATTGAGTACCACATCCAGACAATGGAGAGAAATTTCCTTTAGACGTCTCGAAGCTGGACTCAAGGAAGGAAGAACTATATTGTTAAGGTTAAAAAGGAAACCACCAGAGGAAGAAAGCAGGCCTTAAAGTGACATTAAACCCTCAGATTTTTTAACATAAACCAATAGTGTAATGTGTGCTGCAAAACAGAAGTTCTGCAGAGCATGAGAAGAGATACGGATTTAAAAGGAAGAGCAGCAAAGAGAAGGGAAACAACCATGGATTACAGTAAGGCACACATTACAGTATTGGTTTATGTTAAAAAATCTGAGGGTTTAATGTCACTTTAAGCTTTAGGACAAACTCATAGTTACATAATTTAGTCAGGTTGAAAAAAGAGACAAGTCCATTGAGTTCAACCTATTCCTCCATGAGCAACACTAGGAAAGGCTCGTTACAGGACAAAGGCATTAATTATAAGACTTGCCTTGCAGAGGTTATAGCAACGAGAAACGCGGCCTTGAGAGAGGAGTCAGCCAGGCGAATATTCCTCATAGGTACAAACAGTGGCTTCTGGAGGACTGAAAGAACCAAGTGCCTGTAAAGAAAGAGGCAGGCCTCTCTCTGGGAGAAAGCATGTCCATGAATTAAGGTCACTAGAGAGAGGGAGGAATTATATGGGGGCTGTCCCAGCAGCTTTTGCTAGTGTTCAACCATCTAAAGGTAGCATATACCAAAGACTTAAAGAGCCTGCATCCAGTACTGTACAATTAAGAACAAACATTACTGTCCAAGTTGCAAAACTTTTGTATAAAGCCAGTAAAGTCAGCATCAAATTTAATTCACAAGAACTTTTACTACAATTTGTCACTAAACCCACCTTTTTCTTGTCCACCTCCACCATACAAGGTATACAACAAGACCGACCTCCTACAGCATTGCTGCTACAATTAGACTCATTTTTGGACACCACTATTATATGTAGAATATACAAAAAACTAACTCCTATGGAGCTTCTAATACAACTCCTTATAGAATCCATACGGTTCTAGGCCACCTCCATCATATAAGGTATACTAAAAAACCCCTGCTATGGGTTTTTTTTCACTTCTAGAAATGGTTACTAAAAGTATTTTTAGAACCTGCCCTTGTCCACCTCTTTTTTTTTTAGAGGCTATGTATATCAAACATGGTGAATGTGTCTCATAGTATAAAATTAACAATAGTGTTGTATATTTTCTTGATCTTTCTAGAAACTCCCTTAGTTTACAATTACAAGAGAAATACCTAATCATCCAGCCCAACATTTTATGGGCTTATACTGTTCATTTTAACAAGTGATACAATTCATGCTGCTTCCACCTCAACCAATACTTAATATCACCTAAAAAATAGATCCTGAAACCATTGTGATAAACTCTGTAAATGACAAAATACTTTACCAGTTGGGTGTTCCAAATATGACAATGTTCATAATTTATTTCACTTGTATACATCAAACCCAAATACAAGGCTAATTCAGGCATGAAAAAAAGGCCATGTGTTCATGGGTGGTTTTATTTCTCTAAAGCAATTTTGTCAGATCTGGAGCGGTGTCTGAATTTCAAATGGGACTGTACAGAGCCGTATAACCTGCATTTATTGTTGCTTTTCCCATTTTTGTGAACACAACATGTATTATTCTACTACATCTGCAACTCTTTTATCCCTCTGCACAAGTAAGTGGGAAAGAAAAGTGAGCACAAGATAAAAGCACGGAAGCCAAATGGAAAGACATCTCCAAAACAATGATCTTATGATCTTGATGTTCATGCATACTGCATTCATGGAAAATGGAAAGCTTTTAAGATGCATTTACGACACATATACTCACGCAGCATGTTGACTTTTACTGGGGTCACATTTCAATCTATTTTTTGTATTTTCACTTTTCCTATCTGCTATATAATACAGTTATTCCACTGGTTCTAATATTTTCTTTGTGCTTTAAACATGATATTATACCTAATAAGGCAAAGCACCACTTTCAAGTGCCTATTTGTCAGGTTGCCTTAGGTGCCCCTGATGCTTTATTGTGCACAGTTTGACAATCTCCAGTGGGAGAGAGCTGGTCTCTACTCCCTATATCTATTGGCAAATAAGGCTGCCCATCATAGTTATGAGTGAACAGTGAGGCACAGATGGCAAAGACTCTTTGGTCAGAATTTACATACCAAAGCACACCCCAGAGGTACTTTCCCACATCAGTTCTAGCTTTACATAGGCATTACATTAAGTACACAAACATCTACTTTATCTAAAATTTTCACATATGAAGCCACTACTTTTACATTGAATCTGCACTTGCCTAAGATATTTCAAAGGCAACCATACTGCTGAAGCTCGGGCAACCTGTGGGGCCTGCGCCAGATCAAGCCCTGTGGAGCGCCTTGGATTACAGGCCCATTTGTTTTCTGGAATGAAGTTATTTCTGGAGCTAGGTTCCACCATTATCATCAGCTGGCAAATTCCAGAATTTTAGTGGGCAGTAAAGGTTTCCGCATTTGACAGTGACTTGGGCAGAATTTATTATACTGTCTGAGATAAGGATCCAAAGAGCTTCCGTGGGACATGGGGATCGATTTGAAAACAAACCCACAAGCACACTTACATGCAGCATGCACTTCAGCTTTAACTGCCAGAATAAAATATGACACAGCCTACCTCTTCATCAATCTTCTCTTCGACATCGAACTTTCGTTCTTTCAGAAAACGTTGTGTCTTCTCCAGTTGGAATTTTACCAGTTCTTCTATGGCATCCTTCTCTTCTTTGTCAACAAACTCCTGCACAGCCTCCCCCATTCCCCGTTCAGTGAGGAGAGACAGCTGAACATTCTGTGGAGGACATGAAGTTACTGCCAAGATGCCATGTGTCTCACTGAGGTCCAAACTAAGTTTTAAATCATTTTCTATTAATAACGTTTTTCATATGTGCCATGAACACAAAGAACAACTTACACATATTTTTTTTTCCATTTTTAAATAATCTGAGGGCATCCTTACCCGAGAGTCACCCCATTCCTCTCTGTAGTGCGTATATATGTTGCCCAGACGTTGTGTTGTGATGGGCAGACATTACAGGATTACCATGTAGCAAGCATGATTAGATTTAGAATAACTGGTATATGGGTACCTGTGCATAAATGGCTTTGTTTTTGGAACTTTAACATTTTCTTTCTTTTTTTGTTTGCACGAGTGCTGCTGTCTTTTATGCTTTTATGCTGTGCCAGAAGCAACCCAGGTGCAATTAGATTGATGTTTAATTAACAAAATTGAACAGGCAGATTTCATCAGCAAAGGCTGCAAAGAGCCAAGTACTGCATTATGGCGAACGATCCTCCCTGCAGGACTTCTGGCGGTAATACAGAGCTATGTATGAGTATGCAGAAACAAATATTCAGCAAGGCATAATGCTAAATGACGTTAGCTTTGTAATTAATGCAAAGACATTTGGCTGAGATTAACAAGCCGCGAGCACACAATTTCTTCTCCAAATCATTCATGACTAAAGAAACACTACAATCAAGAGAAGAAAAATATGCATTTTTTTAATGTTTTACATACAGCTTCACAATAAGTGCCTGGTTTACAAAAAAAATATTAATATATAAATTATATATATATATTTATATATATTACATACACCAACACATACAGTCTGATATGTAAAAATACACACACTAACTTTAAATGAGAAGTATTGGGAGGGTAAAATGTACTCTTCCCAATACTTAGAGCTGGCGTGTGAAACTACAGGAGTTACATGCCAGCTTTATAGATCGACAACTGAGTGTTTAAAAAACCGCTGATCGCTCAGCTCACGGTCTTTTCCATGCAGAGAGTAGTGACGGTCAGTCACCGCTCCCTGCAGGGATTCCCCCCTCCCCTCCCAGTTCCTGATTGGAGGAATGGACAGGGGAGGGGGCGGGCACAGGCACAGCTGGCTCTGCCTCTATAGAGCCAGAGCTAGCTGTCAATTAGACAGCGGGGTGGATCCTGACAGTACTGTCAGGTTCCTAACGGCTGCAGCGTGGCTCTGCGCAGTCTACAAATAGCAGGCAGCAGCCCTCTAGATGCTGACTTTACATAGTTAGATAGTATTTGAAGTTGAAAAAAGACACAGGTCCATCAATTTCAACCTTTGTGTGTCTGTTTGTTGTGCATGCGTGTGTATAAGAGTCCCTGTGTGGTCTAGTATTTAAGTGTACCCGTACCCCTGTATGTTACGGTCTCTTAGGATGGTATCTAATTGCTTAAGATACCATCCTAAGGGACCGATCCTGAAATCTCACATCTATCTGACTTTGTGAAATGTCAGATAGCACTCACAAAGTCGGATAGAAGTGACATTTTAGGACCGATCAGCTGTTCCAGGGCAGATCGGTTCTCCTGCACATACCATCTGCCATGCCGATCTGCCCTGGAACAGCTGAGAAAGCTTTGAATTCTACACCTTTTGCTGGTCACATATTTTAACCCTAGAAAAAATGGGCATGACTACATTACAAGTCACACATTCCACCGCCAAAAAACTGGGCAGGATTATGTTAAAATGTGTGACCACGTCACCGGTCACACATTCTAACGCAGTCACAAACTTTGATAGAACACCTGTCCTAGGGTGGCTATGCTAACTTAAATCCAATGTATCTATTAAAGAGCTATGGGTGCACATTAGGCTGCTCAACTATTGTGAACTACAAACACAGCTTCCTCTCTTCATTCCATTACATAGGGGCAAGATAATTTGTAGTTTACCAGAAATAGTTTGGGAGGAAGATAACATCGTATGTGATTTTAGTTCAGCTCACAGGAAGTGACAAGAATGCCGCATTTCTTGCAAAATCAACAGGTATTTTATGCACCGGTACTTGCTGAAAATGTTCCTGCAAAATTTTAAACAATGCAGCCACCACATTGCTTTTAAAACGCTCCTTTACTAATGTTATAGGCGTTTTAGGCATTTTAGTTTTCATACCCATGTAAACTTAATGGTTGAAGAAACTAGGGAACCAGGAACAGGGAGTAACACAAATTTGAAGGCATCTGGAAAGTGAATACTATATTTGGGCCACATATAAGCAGAGATGGAAAGGATTAGCTAAATGACACCGCCCCACAACTTTTGGTTAAACTCTGGTGAACTGTCTTCAAAGCAAACTTGTCAGCAATGTTAATTATTCATAGAGATTGTATTTGGCAGGAATCAGGAAAATTAGCCAGTAACAAAGTAAAAGTGGTTTCAAACAGGTGCACGGGAGAAGTTTACAAGAGTAAAAAAAGATAACAAGTTTTAAAAGGTAAATGTGAATGTAAAAGTCATTTAAAATTCTTTAGATTTGCAGCTTATATAAGAATAATGCCTGATGATCCTGCCATGAAGTTCCTCATTCAGCCACCGTGCCACATGGGCATCTTCTGAAAGCTACAAGTGGCCATTTTAACAGACATTATGCAGGCATAGTCAAGTGTTGTCACCATTAGGAATCCCCCTCCACACCACCACTCCTGAAAAATACAATGTATGAGGTCAGCAGCACTGAGATGAAACAAGTCTGTACTGGTGATATTACCATCTGTGAAAAACAAGTGTACAGGCCCGGGTATATGTAAGAACTTACATCCCATGGGGTCCTGCCTTCTATGCTCCCCGGGTCCAGTGGCTGCTACCCCCCTGACTGCCTGTGTGATCTTCCATCAGCCTCTGATGTGCTGGGCGCGCATATGCACACTGAACCCACTCTTAAAGGGACAGTGAGCACTTTTCACAATCAAGTCTCCACAGAGGTCCATCTTCAGCCGTGACGTCAGAACACCAACAGGTGTTCAAATTCAATTCAGTCCATGCTTTTTTTTTTTTTGCAGAGCTTTGTCTTTGTAGTGCCTGCTGTGTATTGACCTTTGCTTCGCTATTTGACCATGATCCTTTGATGCCTGCCCAATCTCTGTTCCGGTTACTGACTATGAGTTTGGCTATGGTGTTTCTGGACCTTTACCTGTGGTGGTCACCACTACGTAAGAGGCCGTGCATTAATAACGCTCTACCTGCACAGAGGCACTTTTAGTACAGGCGAATCTCCCTGCATCTGGGCTTCTAATAACCTCATCTGATGCTTCAGGAGGGAAGTGCATTTTCCATTTTTCTAGAACCAATAGAAAGAATAATAGAAACAGAAATAAATTATCTAAAAAAATATATATATATATATTATATATGTATACACATATATGTGTGTGTGTGTTTTTACAAATGTGTTTTGTGACCAGAGCTGTATAAAATATGTTGTAATAAAGGTAATGTGGCTGTTCCTAGGTTCTGTCCTTTCTGTCATTCTATATCCCTTTTTGTATCTGCATATCGCTGCCCCCCACTAAGTAATCTTCTTCATCAACACCTTTCTTTTTTTTCTTCAATTCTGTAGGGTTTTTTTTTACCCAACAGCACATTTTACATGTTCTCATTATAATGACGTGTCCCTGTCTTTACATATTGAATATTGTTTTTTGTCTTTTGCTCATTTCTTAGTACTCATTAATTCCCTCTGTAAATATATTGTCTTGGGTATTTGTTCAGCCATCTCTCCATATTTCCCTATCATAATTATATGGATATAATGGGATTCCAATCAGACTACCAGGAGATAGTCTTCCTCTTATTGTCTCACTTTGTGCTTATTGTTCATTCTCAATAGCATCTTCTATTTACTGGTGTGCAGGGATTGTTCTGCTATAGCTTGCAGATGAAGCAGACTGCTTAAAGCTGAACTCCAGGATTGTCATGAATGTTATCCATCACTTCCTGGTGTGTGTGTGTGTGTGTGTGTGTGTGTGTGTGTGAGAATGTGTGTGTGAGTGTGTGTGTGTGAGTGTGTGTGTGTGTGTGTGTTTAACTCATATCATCAATGTGGTTGGATTGATGAATAATTAAGGCACCGCATATCTCATAAAGGCATATAGACATTCAATTATTAATTTGATTCTTTAGGTGACAACACAGCTTTGACTTCCCCCAAAAATATTTTATCAAATCCATTGGATACTTTAAAGCTGAACTCCAGGTCAACTTTTAAATCCACAGCTGCAGTAACATACACCGCCTGGCCAAAAAAAGTCACTAGCTGGATTTAGCTAAGCAAATAGGTCAGAGCCTTCCAATGGATAATTAGTCTAGGTTTAGCAAAGTTATGTCCTCAAAAAAGGTCAGCTGCCTACCTAAATATATTAAATGACCAGATTACTCCATCAATGGATTTGTTCTTCCCTGATGACACATTGGGCATATTTGTACGGAAATAAATGTTGTGACATTGCATAAGCTAATCGAAATGATGCCATGACGAATATGTAAGCTAAAGACAGTCTAACAAAATATTAGAATGTGTGACTTTTTGACCAGGTAGTGTATATTGGTGCAGTTTTAACTGCCATTTACATTTTTGTTCACCCAGTCCTGCGATTTAGGTAGCCCTGTCAGAAAAACAGCCAGCCAGGTAGCTTGATTTCCTCTGCTGTAGTTTTGCAATACAGCCTGGAAACCTCTCCACCCCCAGCCTGTAATTAGAGTGTGAAGGAGCAGGAGCAGAATGAGATCAGTGGACTGTTGTCTTCTCATTATGCAAGTATATTTTCATGCAGCACACCTGATTGGTTCCTAAAGCTGACCCTCCATTTCCCAGTCTGAATACTACTACTGTGCCGAAAAACGACAAAAGTCCGATACCAAGTCATACATAGCTGTTTATGCAAGTTGCATTTTCATAGTTACACTGTAAATAAGGTTGGAAAAAGACACAGGTCCATCCAGCCCAGCCTATGTGTGTCAGTTAAAATGCATT